CACCACGATGGCGCCTACTTACCGTGGGGGACGACAGTCATGGGCTACCGCGTCATTGACCCTACGGTGGACGGGCGTGACGGCTGGGTCATCCTCCATCATGATCACGGCGACAACACTACTAAGCTCTGGGCACCGACCCAAGTCCACGTTAAGGGGGACGACTCCTGGCGCACCGTCATGGTACCAGCGGATATGGGGCCCCAGTGGATCAGGTGCCATGCCGAGGACGCACGCCCCCCCGCCGAGGTAGTCCGCACTACAGGCCAATCCTGGTTTGCTGACGTCTGGCCCTTGTGGGATCGCCCGAGACCCCACCCAGACGACCCCGGCACAAACGAGCATGCGCTACCGCCTTTACCAGGACGCTGGTCTTGCCTACAGTGTCGATTCCAATGCTGCCAATATTGCGCGGCTCGCCGCAACACACAGCTTGGCACCTCGGGCCAACCAACGTGCCCAGACTGCGGCCGCAGCGGACTGCGTACACTTATGGACTGGTCCACGGACTACTCGTGCAACAGTTGGACGTGTGAATACAGCACCAATAAGAGGGACTCCGACACATGCTGCCTGTCCAGCAGGTGTCCCCACCCCCCCAGGCCACACAACCAGCTCGACGTCCGTGCCACAGGGATGCCGCCGCACAACCTTGCCCGCCAATTCGGCAACGCGCCAGCCCTCCACGACCTCAAGGAAACCCCCCGAGCGCCTTCAGGCCCCGGGGGAGAACCTCCACAACCAGGGCAAGTAGGCTACCAGGGCCAATGGTACCTCCCACCACAGCCGCGGCGTGTCCCCAGGCAGGGATTGCCTGACGGCACAACGCGGCCACCTGGATTCACAGGAACGGGGATGCCCGAAGAACCTTTCCCCGACCAACCGCTTTGGAGGGAAGGCTATGTGCTCTTCAGCCCCCATCAGGCCCTCAAGGAGGAACTCACCTTCAACAAGACGGTCCGCCGACCCTTCTCCCTAGCCATTACCAACATGTACAGGGATCGTGTCACGGTCAGGACCGTCTGCGAGTTGATCGCCGAGCGCACCACATGACCCGCACCCGCTGGCGAGATGTGGTACTGTACTGGGACGCCGAGGGTGGTCCTGGGCCTCAAGCTCTCGACTACGATATGCGACTCTGTGACGCCATGGTGAGCCGTGCCACGACCGAAGCTGAGCTAACCACGACCGCAGCAACCGTGGTAGTTTCTGCCTCTACGGACCAGCGCACCAGCGGGCCATCAACATTACGGCGATCTCAGAGCCGCAGAACATCGACTACACGGAGCATGTGCGACGATACTCACCCGTAGGGGGGACCTACCCTGACCACGCCTTCGAGCACGTCTATCGGGGCAGGCAGCGGCCCGACGTGCCCACCATCCTCCCCGACACCCGTCCCCTCTCGAGAGCCGACTGGCAGCGTCACCAACAGCACCAGCAGCGCATTCAGCAGCGGGACCAACGTGACGCAGGACAGCAGGGCACACCACGCTACCGCTCCCCTGCGCGAGTCCCGACAGGCGGTAACACGGCCTACGACGGGGTTGCCGCCTACCACCGTGGACCCATAAAAAAAGAAAAAAATAAAAAATACGGGAATATAAAGATTAACAGTAACAAAAAAGAAGTATAAACATAAGAAAAAACCAATACAATAATAAATAAAAATAATAAGAACCGCTACCTAAGAAAAAACATCACTAAACGAACAACAACATCTACTAAACAACAACCCTAACTCCATCACTACCCTCCAAACCACGCAAACCCACCCCACAAAAGAACAAATCAATAATCAAAGAACACCTCCGGTGCCAAATGCCTGCGGCTGCTGGAGCAGCCGCCTCCAGCTACGGCCACGCCCCCCACGCCAGGGTACACCCAGCGGTCATCGGCTACCCGCGTGCACCCGTGCAGGCCCTCCCAAGGGCCACCTCGCCAGTGCCATGGTCCACGCGCGCCTGGGGCCATTACTCAGGCCGACATGATGGCACCTCCAGCAACCAGCCCGCAGTGATAACCCCTGCGGCTTCAGCCCAGGGGGCTGCAACAAACCGTGGCAGGGCTGGGCGCCCCGAAGGATGGCGCGATGCGAACGTGCGCGCTTGGCAACCGCGCCAGCACACGCCCCCGCCAAACGTAGCTGCAGCACTGCGCCCTGCCCAGGCCAAACCTGCCCCACCAGTGCGGGAGAGGCAGCCGCTCACTCTCTCTCTCTCTCTCTCTCTCTCTCTCTCTCCTCCAGGCGCATCGCAGCGCCTCCCCGAGGCACAGCGAGGGAAGCGCCCACCACGTCAGCCCCCGCCCAGACGCGGCCGACCCCGACCAGGCCACAGCCATGGCGGAAGGCGGCACAAGCGCCTCTCGCCAGCCCAGCCCATCACCCTGCGCGGCGCCGATCCGATCCCCGAGCAGGGCGGATTCTGAGCGCGCTAATGCCCCGGCGACTTCGCCACGCGACCGTCACACGGGCGGGCGCGTCCCGCGCAGCAGGACCTGCAGCCGCCACAGTTCACGCAAGGCCCCAGGGAGCTCCACGAGCTCGCCGCCTCGCGAGACTCAGGCCGATGGCCGACCCCCCGAAGTGGTGCCACGCTTCGGAGCCAGCGTCATCGACCCTGCCAGGTCGACCTCGAGCCGACGCCGTCCACGGACCACGAGCCGCAGCTGCCCACCCGCGTGATCGTCCCCATCGACGAGGCGCCAACCTTCGACCCGTTCAAGAACAAGTACCGTGTCAAGAACCTTGTGGCGGGTTTCGGCGGGGGCTCACCGCTCTCACCTCAGAGTCGGGGCGGAGCCCCCGCCACCTCGGCTGCTGCCGCGGCAGCTGCGGCCCCGCGGGGAATCAGCCCTGTCCGCAACGTGGGCCTCACGGCAGCGGGCATGGACGAGGCCCAGCGTCAGGCCTCCGATCGTGCTGCTGGAGCCGTTCCACCAGATGCTGCTCATCAAGACACTGACGGGGCGGGCGTGTCACCGCAGGAGGGACCAGCGGTGGCGCGTGCGCAGTACATGCGCGTGCGTTGTGCCGCCGCCGCGCCTGGCCGCCGCCGCTGTCTCGTTTTTGTCTTTGTGTTCGGCAGGATGGATCGAGGAGTCGCCTCCCTCTCCCACTGCTGCCGTCTCACTTCTCCTCCCCTCGTCCCCTACAGTACAGGAGTGAGGAGGAATTTTCGTGACATTTTTACTAATATTTATGAACCCCCCCTGGCGCAGTGCCGACCGTGTCCCGCCTACATGTTTGGCCTGACGGCGGCTTCAGCCCCGTTCAAGCTAATCCATAGCAACGCCATGAGCTCCTACTGTGGCCAAGCCTCCTACTGGGGCGAGGGTCAAGCTGACCTTCACCGTGCGGGGCGCGCAAACCCCAGTTCCACCGATGGAGACGGGCCAGGTCGCTCCATACACCTCGTCAGCCTTAACATCACCAGTCTCTCAGCGAACTGGCCAACCATCACCGCCCTTGGTGTCGACCACAACGCCGCTGTCATAGCACTGCAGGAGACCCGACATGCCAAGCCGACTAGGCAAGCCATCGCTACCAGCGCCGCCAATCCTCTCCACGGTGGATACCACGCCAGTCTTGGGCCTGACCTGGATCTGGCGCGAGCCCAGCGCAGAGCTGCCCACGGCGGCACTGATCACACCGTTGTGGGCAACACTGGCGCCTCGGGAGGGGTCGCCATTCTCTCTAAGGATGCCATCGTCGACTCCACTGTCGACGACAATGCGCCCTGTATCGCCGCCCTCAAAGCCAAGAAAAGATGGCATGAGGTCTTTCTCCCACTCTGCACTCAACACCGCCGTAGGCGGCGACGAAATAACCATGGGCCCGCGGGGATCTACATAGCGAGCCTTTACGGGATTGCTGGAGGAGACAGCACAGCTCTCTTTCGGCTCGCTGACTGTGCCGCCGCTAGGGTCGGCTCAGCCCCCTACTTCATCTGCATGGACGCCAACACGAACATTGACGACAATCCACACCTTCTGCACATGTTGCAGCACGGATGGTCCAACGTTGCTGAGGGCACACCAGACCACACCATGCACACCTATGGCAATATCCCTGATTGGGACCGCGTCACCAAGTGCCCCCGCACTTCGCGCATCGATTATATCATTGCCAACCAGGCGGCGCGATCCCTTGTCACCGACTTCTGCTACCTTCGCGACTTGCCTGCGAAGTCTCACGTTGGCCTGCAGGTCACGCTTGACCTCAGTCGCCTCGACCATACGGCCCGACGTCTTCTTGCCCCTACGCCCTACCCGCCCGACGATGGAGTTCATGAGGGGCACGAGCTGCAAGCACTTGGGACCCTCATCGCTGGGCGGTACCAGGACCGCATGGAGCAGGCCGACGCACGAGACGACGTGGAGCGCATGTTCACCCTGGCTAACGAGGCCAGTCATGAGTACCATCTCACCCGTCTACGCGATCTGCCACCTCCACCGCCCCACCAACCAAAAAAGAAGCCCCCCACCATGCACGGGCTCACGCCTACGTTCGAGGATCGACCGGTTGTCCCCCGCGCGTTCCCCACCTACGGAGCTTCCACGATTCACATGAACCGACTGCGCAAGCTCCATCGGCAACTCTGCGAGCTCCGTTTCATCGGACAGCACCACCATCTTGATTGCCGTGCTATCCCGCCGTACCTCGCGCAGCGCATCGACTGCACGTGGGCCGCGGCCCGCCTCTTATGCCACAAGCTGCGCCCCACGGTTCTCCTGGAATTCCCCGAGGCCTGGGCCCCAGACGAGCCAGTGCCGCACGGGGAGCACCTTGACGTTTTGATCCAACATCTCGACTTAGAGCTGGCGCGACGCGCGAACCGTGCCAAGGCGGAACGCATCAGGATATGGGCCGAGGGCGTCCGTGAG